CTAAGTCAAGCTTTGATCAGGTAAGAGATTAAACGCTTCCTGCAAAGGGAAGAATTTCACCACTCTGAACAAACGTGCACGTTCTGAGCCGGACATGTTCAAGGATCAGGGTAGAGGCTTGGGTAGAGGCTTTTTATTTTTTTTTAGCCATTTACAAGCACCTCAAGGAACTTCATTCTGCAGCAAGTGATCTGATGAAATCCATCTGAAATTACACCAGGCACTTCCAGGCAGACACTCTGGAACAGGAGCGAGCCATAAAGTGAAATGCTGACGAGTGGCAAAGGTCCTGCAACTGCAGCCCATGGCAAAGTCACACACACAGTATTCAAAGCCATGAATACAGGAGAGGTGATGAAGCCCCTCGTAAGTGTTGAAGGTTTAATACAGTCCTTCTTCATATGAACTAGTATAACCTGTCCCTTAGATATCATCCTGCAATAACCTGCGTCAGGCACAGTCCTCTCCATGTGCCTCAGAGCATCCTCAGCCAGCAGACCTGCAGTCACCTGGAGTAACACACACTGACCAGCCAAACAGGACAGACCCACCTGATCCACCTTCCCTGAACACAGACGGTGCAATCCTACAACCACTCTGCAGTGAGGCAAGAAGAGCACAGAGGAAAGGCACAGAGGATGGACAAATAGCAGTACCTGGTCTAGGAAGAGAGGGCAGGGCAGGTACAGTGAGGAAGCTGAAAAGATGGGAATAATTAGCCCAACTGCAACAATAATCCCTTTACCTTAACAGAATGTATCCCCTGGTGCTGCCTTTGCTTGGATATTTAAAGAAAAGACAGTGAAATCAGGAGCCACACCACATGTAATGACTGCTCTTACTGAGGGGACAGCTTGGAAGGGAAAGGGGAAAAATCAGTGGATTGATCTCTGACGAGCATGAAGGGCTCATTAGACTTGCAAAGAAATTCCACTCAAGTCTCAAGGCACAGATACTCCAGCCTCCAGATTCCAGTGTAAACTGCATATGCTTCCACAGGCACTTTAAGTAACAGCCTACTACCAGCAGATTTCAGTGTGAAACAAAGCTCTAACTCGCAGATGGAGGATACTCATCCTGCTGCAAGAAGAGATTCAGGTCCCTCAGAGCAGAACTGTGTCCACTTTAAAAGCCACACAAGGGGTTACCTAAAGGGCCACAATTCTCTGCTTTCTCCACCACGTCTTGGGGTGATATGCCAAGACAGCTTGGGATTGAGGGCTGGCTGTGCTGAAAAGCCAGGTGTGAGCAATGCTGCACCCAGCAGACACTCCAAGAAGGAGCAGTGATCCAAACTAAGGGCTGCAGCCCTGGCACAGCTGAGGGTGCCCTGCAAGGCTCTGGCAGGGCTGCCCGACACCAAACAGCCCACTGACCTCTACCCAGGATCACTCACTCTAAATCCCTTCTCAGGGAGTTCAGGACGAGTGGGAACATCGCTGCACCGCTCTGCTGGCAACCCGTGCACTAGGGCACTGCCTGCTTCATTGATGAGCATCCCACCAGCAAGGCCATGGCCTTGGGGTGAGCCCCAGACATCACACCAGCCCACCACTGGGGTCTAAACCCTATGGTTAAGCAAGCAAAGCTCCTGAGAGAGAAAGCAGATTTAGAGCAGATGGGCAGAAAAACCTAGAAAGCCAGACCAGCTCCAATGCAGCACTAGTGAGAGACCTGAGAGCTTCTGTCCTCCTCCCAAGACATCAGCTGGAGCTTCTCTGAACAGAGGCTGGGAATAGCCAGGATGGAGAGTCTGAGGCTCACCCTCCACTTGGCTATGGAGCAGACACACACCATCCTGGATTTAACAGTCTCAGCTGTCCTAATACAGCCAGAGGCACCCATTCTGCTTGGCAAGAAAGGGCTCACAGTGCTTTTCACAGACCTTAGAGCAAGCCATACACCCAGAAAGCACAACAGATCCTGCTGTTCAGGGGCTGATTGCTTTACCTGTATGCAGAGCCACAACCTCCTAAACCTGTGCCATGTGCCAAACACACTGTACACACTCTCAACATCACCCAGATGAAGGGCCCATGAGTCTACCACAAGTCCAGGGCACTTCAGGACAAGCTTCCATCTCTCAATCCACCCCCATACCTATGGCCACCTAGCACACAGCCTAGAAAGAAATAAGCCAACCCACTAGCCCACTGACCTGCCCAGCCAGCAGGCTAAGCAAAATGGAAGATGCTGGGTGGAAGCCAGCACCCTGATTCTTTCATGCCTAATTCATCAAGTGTCAGAGCACTGCTACAGCCACATTAGCAGCACGCACTCCAAAGACACAACCACAACCAACCTCATCAGCACGCTGGACTGGCAGTAGTTTATTCTGCTCAAGACAAATCCAACAGCTTTCTTCCAGTTCTTGAATAACACTCCTACTGGGGAAAAAAGGGGAAGGACCACCCTCAGCCATTGCCTCATGATCCCATTTGGCATGCTCTGCAAGCCAAAAGGGATTTGTGTGGAAGTCTGGCCATGGGCACACCCAGCACCTGCATCTCAAACAGCAGTACTCAGAGACCCTGACAGGCAAAGCAGTTCCACTAGATGTGTCAGGATGGTTTGGTCCTCCTGTGCTGATGGACGCAGGCTTTCAGAGGAAGCAGCAGACACCCCATCTTAAACGCATTTTGAACATGGCTTTCCCCATCTGTTTCTAACAGCCCCACAATGCTGCAAAGCCCAGCTTCCAAATGAAGATATAAATGTCATCAAGGAGCAATTCAATACGCTCCCCGCTATTACACAGCGAGAACTGCTCAGCAAATAAATACACAAGGCACAAGGTGATACACAAACACTTAGACAATGCTGCAACTCAGATCCACATGCATGCAATGAAGAACAGGGTTCTTTCAAACGAAGCAGAGGACCATGAAAGGCAGAAGATGAGGATACCCACCTTACCAGCATGCCCCAAGTGTCCCTGGCTAGATCCACCAGGCTCAGCCTCAGCATGGAAAGAGCATTTCCCTCGGTTTTATCCTATGAGGACTGCTCCCCTGGCCAGGGAACAGACTTCCCCATGGCTTTTGGGAAGGAAATGAGAACGCTGCAGCATCCTTGTTCAGGACAGATAAATACGTTTACTGGGTCTTGCTGGAAGTGCAGTTTATTAAGCACAGAGGGAATGGGACAGTTTGGATGAAATGCCTTGGGAAGAAAGAGGCTGGAAGGTGAGACAGAGATGCAGGGTGGGGAAGACTAAATTAGAAGCCTGGCTTGTAAATACTTAACATAGACCTTGAAAAGGACAAGTAATGAGGGAGGGAGAGACACAAACCCCATGCTGTCGCACTTGTGACCTGCACCTTGTCACCTGAAGGGAGCAGACCCACCTCCTCCCCATGGGAGCTCCCCACAGGGCACACAGAGGTCCTGTTGCTTCTGTCCTCATCTTGGCTAATCCCAGCTGATGAAGGATAAAGGTCCATATCTTATCAGTGATGCCACCTGCCCCTTCCAGAGCAGCAAACAGCCTTGCTCTCCCAGGCAGACACCGCAACACCTTGATCTGTCTCATGTTCACATCAGATGGGACCTTTGCAACAAGTTCACTGCTGCAGATCAGCAGCAAGCTGCTCCAGAGCAGGGCTGACCATATGGGCCTCTCTGGCTTTCATTTTAAAAGGCTTCAAATGGTAACAGCCATGCTGTGCACTTTCACTCATTAACACAAGCAGAGCTGGTTTAGTTCAGGTTTCTCAAGGATCAGCTCCTGGCTGTGCACGATGAAGACAAGACCCACAGCACTGGACACCTCCATGTGCACAGTAATGGCCCAATAACCTTTTAAACCACCAGAGCTCACCAGGTGCTTCATTTCAAGCTCTATATGTTCAAGACCCAACTGTCCTAATACCTTCTGATGCTGCAGTCAAGCCTTATGGAGGATGGAGACCCAAGCACCCAGCCTATGGCACAAGCATTCCATTTCCCTGGAACACAAGAGATGGGTCTCAAACAACCCCCACCTGCACTGTAATTCCAAAGCCCTGAACACAAGCCTTCATTTCTGAGAGCATTCAGCATCATGAGATACCTCTGCTAATACTGGGGGGTGCACAGGAAGGCATGCCACAGCCACACACCCCTTTTCAAACACCATTCCTCTATCTAGAGCATGACTGAGACAATGCAATACTTGTATCAGGTGTGAATTACCTGCCTGGAAACCTCTGTGCACTGAAGGTAAGTCAGCCAGCACCTTGCCTTCCTCCTTAAGTTACATATCTTGGAGTAAATCCAAGCATTTTGCATATCAAGAAGGAACAAAGTGACTGCCCCATCCCTGGCAGTGCTCAAGGCCAGGCTGGAGCAACCTGCTCTAGTGGAAGGTGTCCCTGCCTGTGGCAAGGGGTGGAACTGGATGAGCTTTAAGGTCCTTTCCCAACCATTCCATGATTCTCTCTGGGTTTGACTATTTCTCATTTATAGAGAGAATGAGATTTTCATTTTCCTTCCCTCAGGCTTCGCTTGTAAATGCCCAATTGAGACCTCTTATGATTGAGAAAACCAGCAAAAAAACCTGACCTGCAGAAGGAAAGCCATTAAATACTCCAGATGTGAGGTACTGGCAGCAAAGGTAAAACCCCTCTGTCGGCTGTAAGAGGGCAGCCGTTGCTCAGCACACCAGATGAATGCTTCTCGGTAGTGAATTTTGTTCCACTCATTCAGACACACTCGACATGTGCCCAGATCCACACAGATAAAGGCAGGGCAGCTCAGGAATACGCGGCACACCAAGAGCTGGAGTGACAGCTTAGCTCATCTCAGCAGCTCCTTCCAGCCACACCGTTTCTAAGCAAGACCAGCCCCTCGCTGCAAATGGAGCTGCACCTCGCATGGTGGTACCACCAGCAAATGGAAGCAGAAACTCCCTTTAAAGCGATGGCAGCTTCCCTCTGCGAACAAACAGGATTGCATCTCTAGGGCTCAAACCAACCTTCCCTGGGCAGACAGGGATGCAGACAGCAATCTCCATCCCTCACCTGGAACAAGCTGCTCCTGCTCTTCACGGCTTTAACTGCTCCAAGGCAGGGGATGCCACACAGCGTGCCTGGAAACACCTGGTGAGAAAACTTCCCTTTCCACATGGTGAAGTTAGATTTAAAACAAAGAAACACCCAGCACCTGAAGGGAATAAGGGCAAAGCCCAGAACGGGGCCAGCCCCATGGCCCGCCTGGGGTGATTTTGGGACAAGGATGAACAGCAGCATGGAAAGAGGCTGATGACAGGGACAAGAGGAGCAATTTCACCATGACACGGGGATGCTGGTGAGGTATAAGGCACATCGAGGACCTGCCAACACCTCCATTTACACCAGGTACCACCACCCCAGTGTCAACCCCATGGGGCACCGGCATCCCCAACCCCATGGGGAAAGAAAGGGAAAGACCCCGGGGCTCAGCAGGGCAGGAACCCACCGTTAACGTTAAACACCAGCACCCCTTACCCTGCGGATGCACAAAGCAGGGCATCACCGGGGTACCATAACCTCCATAATGCTTCCACCCCCAAAATGTGGGGCAGGGTGTGGACAGCCCCCGTTTTTAAGCCACCTTTTCCTCATGATTTCTTACTACTGATTAATTGATCGTTGTTAATTACAACCGCCCCGCGCCCCCCCCCCCCCGAGGGCGGCTGCAGAAGATGGCACCGCGCCGGGGCGGGAAGGCGCTGCCCGCCCTCCTGCCGCAGCCCCCCGCCGCCACAGCCCCGGCCGCGCCCGCCGCAGGCACCGGGGCAGGAAAACGGCGAAAACGGGCGAAGAACGCGAAAAAACGCCCTTATTGCCCCATCCCGCCCCGCCGCGCACCTGCAGCCGCGGCCGCGCTGCCGCAGGGGCCGCCCCTCGCTCTGCTGCAGCAGCACCACGGGTGACACGCCCCTCGGCGCCGGTTTCGGGGCCCGAGCAGCCACGTTTGGGGCGGTTTAGTGCGGTTTTTACCCCTTTTCACCCGCTTCACGCTCTGGGCGCGGGGACAGCGGGACACAGCGGGACACAGCGGGACACAGCGGGACACAGCGGGTGCCCGTGCCCGCAGCACCCGCACCCCCCCCCAGCTCCGTTCCTCCCGCCGCCCAGCCCGTACCTGCCGCGCAGGGGGAGTCCGCACCGGAGCCGGGCGGCGGTGACAGCGGCGGCGGCGGCGGCGCGGGCGGGGCGGGGGCGCGCGCGAGCTCCGGAACCTTCGCCGAGCGGGCGCGGGAGCGCGCATGCGCCGCGCACATCGTACCCCCCCCCCCCAGTACCGAGGAGCGGGCTCCCCCAGCGCATGCGCAGTTACGCGCCGCGCAGGGAGGGCGGGGCCGGGGCCGCCGCCACCGCCTTTTGTCTGCGGGGAAGCGGGAGCGAGCCGCCCGGCCGGCAGGGGGCGCCCGAGCGCTGCCCCGGCCCGCATCAACAGAGAGCCCCTCAGCCCTCAGCGCCATTTTGTGCCCTGTGCTGAGGGGCCGGGGCCGGGATCGGGATGGGGATGGGGATGGGGATGGGGATGGGGAGGAGGTGTCCCGAAGTCCCGCAGCGCATGCCACCGGGCACAGCCCGGGAGTGACGGGAAGCACCGCCCCTCCCGGTTAGCCCCGCTTCCGTCGCTGGTTTAAGGTTGGATTCACTGCAGCCCTCAGTACCCAGAGGGATGAACACACCGACGCTAACGGCATCCCCTCGGTACCCAGAGGGATGAACACACCGACGCTATCGGCATCCCCTCGGTACCCAGAGGGATGAACACACCGACGCTAACGGCATCCCCTCGGTACCCAGAGGGATGAACACACCGACGCTATCGGCATCCCCTCGGTATCCAGAGGGATGAACACACCGACGCTAACGGCATCCCCTCGGTACCCAGAGGGATGAACACACCGACGCTAACGGCATCCCCTCACCCAGTAAGCTCCGTGCTACAAAGGGAAGGCAGCCTTGTGCACAGCTCCGCTCCGTTATCCGCACAGGTTCCACAGAGGAGCCATGGGATGATGTGTTACCACCCTATGGCACCCTGCATCCAGCACTGGGGTTCCTCAGCACCCTGTACAGGACCAGCAGCACTGGGGCTGAAGAAGCTCCCAGGAGAGCCCTCTCGCCATGGCCTGCTTCACCTGGAGATGCTCTGGAGCAGCCTGGGAGCCGCATGGACACAGTGGACATCCCTCAAGGGAATCACTGCCCTGTGTTCCAGGGCCACTGTCACCAGGAATCTGATTTAGTGCAGAAACCACAGGAGGGATCTTGTGTCAGGCAAACCAAGGGTAAATGATTGTCTAAGAATAGTAATGGTAAATGGTAATGGTAAATGACAGTCCAAGAACAGGCAGAGGCTCCAAAGAAGAAAGCTCAACAGAGACACGGATGTGGAACCTGCAGTATCAGCGGTTTTTTAAAGCAGGCTGGGTTGGGAATGGTCCATCTGGGTCTATGGGAAGTCAAAGCCCTTCTCTTCCTACCTATTAATAAGTACAAAGTACAATCAGATGAGGGAAAAAAATGTGGATTTATGGACCTGCAATGCTATGAGATGGGGGGGGGAGGGGGGGGTCAGGTCAATAGAAACAGGTGAAGCACCTAAAACCCATTATGGAACTGGCTAAAAGTAGCCACTATAAATCAGATCATCAGTAGACACATCTCTCAAATAGCAGTGCTGTTGGTATTGTAAAACATGTCCTACAGTGCTCCAAGGGGATCCAGCCTTGTGAGACAACGCAGAACAAGCTGAATTTGAACTTTGATTGCAAGTGGCTTGAGTCCAGGTCTGGAACAGCAGCTCTTCCTACAGACAGTACAGATACACCAGGAGCACAAGACTAGCTGTGAATCAGCTGAGCATCCTCTAGCAGGACGTGGGCTGGTTGGTTGAGAAGCTCCCCATGAGGGTTGGAAGTGGGTGAGCTTTAAGGTCCCTTCCAACCCAGCCCATTCCATGGTTCTATGGTTCCATGACGACAGCACTGCCTCAGGCACACCAGCAGGGATCCCCACAGCCTCCAGGGCTGTGGTCACAGCACCAAGCACCTCCCTGTCCTGGCCCAGGGCACAGCCACAGAAGCCTGGTAATGAACTGCAGGGAGTATCACAAGCAGCCTTGTGTAGGAAAGGCACAATGAATTTGCTCAAGGCACAGCATTTCGCTGTTCAGTCCCATCTGTATTCACAGGACTGGAAGCACATGGATATTCCTGGTAAACAAGAGATAATCCAATCTACACAGAGCTTCTTCAGCACCCTGCAGGGCCAGAGCATGGGCTGGATGTCCCTTGGTGAGGTGCCCTCCCTCCCCACGTCCCACCACACACCCTTGGGCTCGCTGCAGAGCCATCCCCTTGTGCAGTACCACATCCCCACGGTGCAGTACCGCATCTCGTGTTCCGCAGCCTGCCCCTCGCTCCGGAGGGACGCAGGATGCTGCTGCAGCGATCCCATGTGTTCTGGGAACCCCGAGGCCCCGGGTGCAGCGGAGTGCTCCAAGTCAAGTGGAATGAGCTCACTCCCAGCAATCAGCACATCTCACCCTGGCAAAGAGGAACTGCAGAGGAGCTCTCCACTGGCACCTGCACACCCAGCTGAGGTACACTTTAATTACTGCACAACGCTGTCCTGGCTGCTCCACATTCATAGGGTGGCTTTGGTTATACAGCAAAAAGGAGCTGGGAATTTATCCCACCAGTAACTCTTTCTTCCCCCCATTCCTTCTACTGCTAGGTGTTCCTACATCAGATTATAAAGGAAGCCTTTAGGGAGGAAAGAGTTAAGACTTTATCTTCCATACCCGTTCCTTCAGCCCCAAGCCAAGGCTCATTTCCTCCCAGGTGAGTTCTGAAGCTCTTTCACAACTGCATCAGGGTTTTCCCTGGAGGGTGGTTGCTGCAGAAGTTGGGGACGGTTTCTGAGGGCTCACCTGCAGAGCTGGGTTAGAATTTGGGTTAACATGGCTTCAAGCCTGATGTCCCCAGGCCTCATCTGCTCACAAGATGCTTCATTTCAGTAATCTAATTCAGATTAAGGGTGGCTTTTGCAAAACCATCATGATCCTTGCTGAAATAAACACTCAGATTCTGTGCTAGCGTTAATTCCATTGGAGTTCTGCTCGGATCCCTGTTGCAGCTCACCTAAACCCAAGGAAATGGGCTAATGAATGGCTTTTCCATGGGTTTCCAGCAAGAAGAGCTTTCTGAATCAACTCAAGAGCCATGAGAGACCACAGGGTGATCCCTTCCTACCTTGGGAGGCCCCAGGCAGACACAGCCCCAGCCCTGCCTCCCAGGGCACAGCTCTAACGCGGACATGGCACGGGCCCAGGGGAGCTCGCCCTGCTTGGAAGCCTCTGTGCAGATCACGAGGGCATTACACAAGTGCTTTTGCCAGTCTGTGTTACTGGACAAGGGGCATTGCCTGCACTGATTCCAGACCTTCCTCAGGCTCCAGAGGGGATTAGAGCTCGGCCAGCTCCTTCCTGCTGTGGAAACCAAAGGCAGGTATTTACACCTCGCACACGGCTCTGTGCAGCTGCAGTGCAGGCACAATTCACTGTCACAGGCAGTGAGCAGGTTACACCCCTCCAGCACACACTGAGGCTGGCGGGACTGTGCCGATGTCAATCACAGACAGGAACCCGGCGGCGCTGGGCACGCAGCACCGGCCGTGACTCAGCACAAGGAGCCAGTCCTGCCTCTGCACAGCGGGGAAGCAGTCCCCACCTTCCCTCCTCCTGGGGAGCCTTGGAACCCAGGCTGAGGCACTCACACCTTCTACAGACCAGTGGGAGAGAGAGTGTTCCTTCTCCTTTCCCTTGAGCAGCAGAGCACAACACCCTCAGGTAGAAGATACGAGACCCAATACCCCTAAGGACATGGGGGTTTAATTAATCTTTATTCCATATCTAAATTACCCGCTACAAAAGAGGCTTCCCAGCTCATTTAAACCTTGTAAGAGGCAGAGCTGACTCATAAGGGAGCTCAGGATGCATTCACTTACATGACCCTGTGGGAATGACTGAGTTCCTGGCCTCCCATCCCAAAGTCAAGACTCCCTTGGACCTCGTGTCATGGAAGGGCAGCACGGAGAGTTCAGGATCACGCTGTACTCACACAGCCATCCCACAGCTCCTCTCCATGCACGCAGACCCACAGCCTCCAGCAGCCCTTGTGGGGCTGAAGCCTGATCGCTGTCCTCTTCACTGAGGACAGGGACCCCTTCCACTGGAGCAGCTTGCTCCAAGCCCCTGTGTCCAGCCTGGCCTTGAGCACTGCCAGGGATGGCGCAGCCACGGCTCTGGGACCCTGTGTCAGCGCCTGCTCTCGAAGCCTTCCCTGCTGTCGCCACAGGATGGCACTCACAGGGCCGCACAGAGGGACCGCACCAGCGCAGTCTTTAGTCCTCAAATCCGGCCAAGAGTACCCGTGGAGGCTTCAGAGGGGCTTTGGAAGCCATCTGCTGTTGTCAGTGCACATTACAGAGTGGGAGCAGCCGGTTCTGAGGGGTGCGCCTCTGCTGTTGAGGGTGTGGTAAACACATAAATGTATTGGCTTTCGCAAATCATAGGTGTGGTTATGTGCATATAACTGCGAGTTTACAGTAACAGAAACCAAACTCGCTAAGGACACAAGACTAGACAATAAGTTAAAAAGGTTCAGATCTCTTGATCAAAACGGAGTCACATAGCAAAAGAATTTGTAAAGGTAAAAGAAAGGGGGGGGGGGGGCGGCTTGATGTAAGGTAAACTGGTGCCTAGAGAAACATAAAGTACTTTTTTAGCTTAACTTAGGTGGTAGAAAGAGAACAATGTTTATGTTGTAAGACTGTGGGATGTAGTGGCCCCACTAAACATGAGTTAATTGTTTCACACCAGTCTTCTAAAGTATCTTTAGTTTTCATAGAATCATAGAATCGTTAGGGTTGGAGAGGACCTTAAGATCATCCAGTTCCAACCCCCCTGCCATGGGCACGGACACCTCACACTAAACCATGGCACCCAAGGCCTCATCCAACCTGGTCTTGAACACTGCCAGGGATGGAGCATTCACAACCTCCCTGGGCAACCCATTCCAGTGCCTCACCACCCTCACAGGAAAGAATTTCCTTCTTATATCCAACCTAAACTTCCCCTGTTTAAGTTTTAACCCGTTACCCCTTGTCCTATCACTACAGTCCTTAATGAAGAGTCTCTCCACAGCATCCCCTTCAGATACTGGAAGGCTGCTATGAGGTCTCCATGCAGCTTCTCTTCTCCAGGCTGA